AGATTCTCAGAGGATTTCCACACATCCCTTTCTAAAAGCTGCAAATGAAAAGTACAGTATGACAGCAAAGTACCAGCAGAATATTAGAAATATATTTAAAAGGCTGTTCATTATTTTCCAGGCCTTGTAATTTGTTAAACCATTCCCAATATTGCACTCAACAGATGCATTAGTGCCGCCCAAGTAAAATCTACCATCTGTAGACATAGAGCTGTCATCCTTTCCCTCACATAATGCCCCAGTTCCTGCGCTATACACTTGTGACATGTTGGCAGCACCTCAGGTTGCCTTATAGGTGGCTGTTCTTCCCTTTGTATGTTACAGTTAAAAATGCTATCTTGAAAGCTCCTTTTTTTCAAATATGAAAGTGCAACTGATGTGAGAATTCCTTTGAGGCTGGGAGAGAACCTTTTGCAGTAAAACAAAGTTTGAGTCCAGTGGCACCTTTAAGACCAACAAAGTTTTATTCAAGGTATGAGCCTTCATGTGCATGCACACTTCCTCAGATACACTGAAATGGAACTTAGTAGTCCACACATACAGGCAGAGGCTGAGCAGTAAATTAGCATACAACATATCAGAATCAGGAATAGCAAGCTTGGTTTATATGGTTACCATTTAACATAATGAGGATGTTTTAGCAGATGCAAAAATGAAACAAAGATAACAAGTTAAGTCCACATGGTCATCATTTGTTTGGATTCAATTCCAATGGAAAACACGAAGAGGCAAATATGTATGTCAGACTTGGAGACTGATGTGTAAACATATCCTTCTTAATTGAGGAATACTAAGATCAAATAACTGAGATCCTGTTGTTATGCTACATTCATCTTCTCTCAAGCATGGAGGTAACAAACAGGAGGTGGGGTGACTGGTTGTGCAGTGTTATGTCTCCTCTGTCAGAGAAATACATCCAATTTTCATTGCATTATATTACAATCGGTATTCCAATGTACTATTCTAAATAAGAAATATACTAAAATAAAGAAGATGTATAACCCTTCTTGGTGAGAATATGTACATAAGGAATGGATGAGTTTAGCATATGTAGTGAGATAAGAAACCAATTTCCTTGTTAAGTCCGGGGGGGTTAGTTCCGAGTGTTGTAATAACTTGTAATTCAGCAATTTCCCTTTCCAGTTTGTTCTTGAAGTCGTTTTGTAATAAAACAGCTTCTTTGAGATCACACATTGAATGTCCTGGAAGGCTGAAGTGTTCTCCTACAGGTTTCTCAGTCTTGTGATTCTCGATATCGGATTTCTGTCCATTTATCCTTTGGTGTAGGGTTTGACCTGTTTGCCCTATGTAGAGAACTGAAGGGCATTGTTGGCATTTTTACAGTAAAGTTTACCTCAATTCCAAAACAATTCATTGTAATTCAGCAGAGTTAAACAGACAGACTTTATGACAGACAGAAGGAAGAAAACGTCAGCTGAGAGAAGTTTAAGAAGAGGTCTTATACAATTCCTTTCCTCTCGTGCCATGTGAGAAGGCCCATCAAACTCTGGTCATTTTTATAAAATCTATTGTATGGTCTGAGCAGTGCAGAACTCTTCATTATCTGTTACTGAAGTTCTTATTGTTTGGATCCTTATTTTATAAATAGTTTTATTGACCATCTGTTTCACAAAATATGGCTTGCTGTACTACAGGTATCTAGCTTATTTATATAAAGAGTTCTCTACCTTAGTTTTCCATGAACTTTCATAAACTTCCATGGTTTGGAGGTGGCTCACGTGTGTTGTGCGAAGTCAGCCATAGTTAATACCGGACCCAATGAAACATGTCAATTGCTACCTCCTCCACACAAATAATACATATAATTTAGCTCTAGGACTTGAAGACATCCTTCCGCCATCCATTCCAGGGAGCGGTGGCGCAGGCAGTAAAAACGCCTGCAGTAACATCAAGCGAGCAGCCGCTGTGGCTGTTCGATACCCACCGTGGCTGGGGTGAGCTCTCGGCCCTAGTCCTAGCTTCTGCCCACCCAGCGGTTCGAAAGCAAAAGTCAAAGGAAAGCAAGTAGATAAATGGGTACCTACCCTTAGAAGGGTAGGGGGCACCCTCCTCCGTCCGGGGTTGTGGTGGGAACATCAGCAGCAGCAACGGCGGCGGCGGCAACAGCAACAACGGCGCGGTGCGGCGATCCCTGGTGGCCAGAGAAACTTCGACCAGTGGAGGTGAAAGGAGAGTTGTGGAGAGTTGTGGAGGAGCACGGGACATGAAGGCACAGGCTCGGCGGAGCCGGATGTGGATATAGCCAAGCCGGAACTGATATGGACCGCGCGCCAGAAGCCTCCAAGCTAGAAGACCTGCCCTGACACCAGAGAAATGCCGACCCCAAAATGGACCATCGGAAAAACCAGTGTGGGGTGGTATATGTGCGGGATGGAACAAAGAGTATCCCCCTCAATCTCCAAGGCTGGAATTCCCGGGATCCTCCCAAATTTTATTCTATTACTCTATCTGTTTTTGGAAGCCGCCCTGAGCCCGCCTGGTGGGGAGGACAGGGTAAAAGTGAAATAAATAAATAAATAAATTCTGGGAATTTGCCTTGTCAGCTGCAACAGTCACATTGTTGTGGCCACCAAGGAAAACAGGATGCTGCACTAGCTAGTTCCTTGGCCTCATCCAGGATCTTCTTATGTTCATGGCCTTGTCATCTAAATGTCATAGCCATGTTAATGACTCTCAGTACAAACCAGTGATGTGAGCTAGGCTGAGAGAGGTGACTTCCCAATGCTAGTGTGGTATAGTAATTAGAATGCTGGACTAAGATCTTGTAAACCCAGTCTCCCTAATTGATATTCAGTTAACTAAAGTATACCTATCCTTAGAGCATGAGAAGTTTCTGAAGGCTCTTAAACCAGTTTCTGCCTTATGCTGGCACTGAACACTATGCCAGGTCCAATTCTTTGGGTTTGTTCTATGGTATTTTGCCCACATATAAGTTATGGAGATTGACTATATCTTACAGATAAATATATGTAACCCAATACTGACAGTTCTTCCTTAAGGAACAGGTAACTTCTAGAGGTTAAAGGAACCTAGATTACAAAAAGTAATTTCTAGAGTAATTTGTAGAGAGACCAGGGTCAGGAAAGGATACTTATTTTTCCTGGTGTCCACTTCTTTATTCAAATTGCCTTTCAGCTGCTTCTGAACACATTTTTCAGAGTCTCAGACACATATATACTCTCATGAGGACACATTCAGAATCCTTCAAAAAGAAACCTGCCCCCCCCCCCGGTAAAATCACCTTCTCCCAAAGCAACTTTTCCTGGAAAAGTGGCTGTCAGATTTCTGATCCATCCACTTGCAGGTGATGTGTAACTTATAATGGGTCCTGATCTTTACTTGACTCCATAACTAAGAGCTGCATAGTTATTATGCTTAATCTATAAAAGAAATATAGAAATGGGGAATTGCCTGAAAGCACTTTTGCAATCTGCCTATCACTTTACACTGGATCTGGAACATCTGAACAGCTTGTCAATGTCATAAATGTTGTTAATATATTAAAAATGTGGCATTAATTATGCAAGCGCTCCTCTATTTGAGTAGTGTGGTGTTTAAAAAAACATAAGCTCCATTAGAAACCACTTTAAGGGTTTTTTCCCCCTTTCTATGAGGCTTCTTAATATCCCACGTGTAATGAAATATAGATAGTAATGGGTTTCTGTGTAATAAAGAGGACTGAAAATGGGGGTGGAGAAAGCATAAAGGACTCAGACCAGCTTTCATTGTAAAGTATCTGGGAAATTTTCCATGCATATACTCTTTTAATAGTAATGAGCTTTGAAAGAGTGGCCAGTGTCTTACCTGGGTATAGTTACATTGTCTGGTCCACAATAGCCATCTTAGCATGACTATCAATAAAATCAAAATAAAATCTATATAGACTAAAGAATACCAAGTATCTGTGATATAAGCATATTGGCTATTTACCCAAAATATTATATTTCTTGATTGATGATTGAAGGTATTCTTTGACACTGCTCCTGTAAAATTAGTAATAGCATGTCAATGTGGTGTAGTGGTTAGCTGTTAACTGTCAGACTAGCATCTGGGAAACCCTAGTTCAAACCCCTACTCTGCCATGGAAGCTTTCTGAATGACCTTGGACTAGGGTTGCCAAGTCTACTTACCCCTCTTTTTTTTTGGAGTTCCCCCCGGGGCCCGATTCCGCCGGGGCGGAAATCGGGCCTCCAAAGCGGGGGATTCCCCGCCCCCGGCCCCATTTGGCAACCTTACCTTGGACCAGGTGCACATTCTTAGTCTAATTTGCATCACAGGATTATTGTGAGGATAAAATAGAGCAATGGAGAACAATATAAGCTGCTTTGAGTCCCCATCATTCATTCATTCATTTTTCTTTGCAGTTCACCTTTCTCGCTGAGACTCAAGGCAGATTATATGGTGTAAGTAATTGTGAAAGCCAATTTCTAGTACTGTTAGAAAGAACTACATTTCAATACATTTTTTCCCAGTCAATTCAGATTTCTTTCAATTAGGAAAATGGGGGGGGTAACTGGACTGGAGGAAGGAAAATGAAGTAATACATTTGGTTTCAATTAGCTTAAGGTTACTAAAATATTGTACTCCAGAATTAAAGTTTTCATTTCAAGACTTGAAATCTTCATATTAGTCAATGAGTGTAGCTCCTTCACTTTTCTCTTTTTCTACCCCCCTGTTACAGCTAGTACAAACAAATATTTTCCACCTTAATTGACAGTCTGTTTGGAAAGCTTAGTGTGTGATTTTTCTGTCTGTATAGATGAATATGTAAATTTCAATACATAGGCATTCAGAATTTTAAAATAGAAGATAATACTTGCACCATGTCTGTTGCATATTTATTTTCTTTTTGAGTGTATTCTTGCATGCACTTCTAACTTAAATATCATGTTTTGGTTTACCATGCTAAAATATTTAGGGGAGTCCTTAATATTTTAGATGATTTTAGTAATAAAAATATGTTTCTTCCCCTCTTGTAGAACAAAAGCCTGAAAAACAAACTCCTGTCTGGAAGCAAGCTTTGTGGTATTCATGCAGAAGAGGTGAGTAGAATTTGTTCTGTTCTGACCCCCAACATGATCAGAGAGCAAACAGCACTGCACTAATATAAACCACGAATTTATTTCAGTGGTGATGAAAAATGTTTTATTCAGGGATTAACATCAGCCTATTTGCAAAATTGTCTTCCGACTTCAAGTAATTTCCTATATGTTTGTGCATAAATAAACTTGGTTCCCAGTTCTATTAATGGAGAAGTTTTTATGGGCATTTGTGTAGCTGGTTTCTAAAGATTTAAGGTTTTAGAGTGAGCTTTAATGGAAAATAGAATAAAATATACTAAATTATAAAGGGGGGGGGGTAAATGCCGACCACAACTGAAAGCTTTCTTCCACAGATCCTTTTCACAGTTAAATATTTCTTGCTTTGTGTTCTAACGTGAACAGCCATATCATACACATTTCCACTGGCCACAGCATGCAAATACTAATTTTCTATTAGGTTCACTTTCAGTTGTCATCATGTCAAATCTATGTTCTGTGGGATATGTAGGTGACCATCTATCATTAAAGAATTGTGCAAAAAAAATCCAAAACCCTAATATTCTCTTCCAGCTCAAAGAACTGAGGGAGGAGACAAGGCAACAATCTTATCAACTCCATTGGTAGCATTTTGGTTTTTTAAAAAAGCAGAATTGCTGTTACAAGACATCTGTAGGCTTTTGAAACATCAGGGCACCATTAAAGCAGAAGATTTGCAAACATTTGGGGAATCTGGATGAGCAAACAGCTGAACTTAAAAACTATAGAAAACCTTCAGTGTGAAAGTGGGTCAATGGCTATGTTCCAGATCTCCATCTTTAAAGTTTGAAAATGGTAATGTCATCTTAAAATGTAATGGTCTTCTTTTTCACAGCAGCACCATATAGTAGGCCATTTCTAGGTCATGTTTATTGGAAGCAGGGTAGAAACAGATGATATGTAAACACATGAATCACAGCTGTTGCATTTTGTTTGTCCCTCTGTCCCACTTCCCTCCTAGACACCAGCAGGGGATGGGGGGGTAGGGTTGCCAGATCCAGGCTGAGAAACTCTTAGAGATTTGGGGATAAACCCGGGGGAGTACATGGACCTCAGTGGGGTACAATGCCATAGAGTCCACCTTCCAAAGCATCCACTTTCTCCAGGGGAAATGACCTCTGTAGTCTGGAGATGAGCTACAATTCTGGGGGATCCCCAGGTCCCACCTGGAGCCTGGCATCCCTAAACCCATGGCTCTTGTATCTTGTATCCCTCTGAGATCAGCAGTTATATGATGTTCAATATATATCTTCTTGAACTTGTGGTATAAAATTATACCAAAGTCGGTGTAGCATACTTCAGTACAATGAACTGTGCTTTAAAATGGGGAACAACAAAAGAGCTCTAAACTTATGCACATGAACAGCTAAGTATAGCTGAGAATGTATGAATCTGTCCATAGAGGTAAATCAATCCTATTGTGCTGTATGCTTGGAATTCTATTCAGCCATTTCAGTGCGATATTTTAGGTTGCTAAGACTGCATTGACCCTGGGTTCCCCTGCAGTGAATCTAAAATGACTCATTCATTGTCTGTTACAAATCCCCATTATAAGAATGATTGTTGCCAATGACCCAAACTTGCATCCTGTCTGGTGCCATGTGTAGGGCTGTGTACCCATGCATTTGTTTGTCTTTCTAATGCATGATTAAAGGATGGAATGAATTATCAAAATAATGTTGTAATAACTCAATAATTCAGATGTTTTGGAAGCATCTGATGAACATTCTTTAGTAAACAACAAGACAATGTATTGTTGACAAATCAATGTCAAAACCCCATTCTCCCC